GGCTCGGCTGGCTAGCGGGGTCTTGGGCACCGCCTCCGGGTCGCTGCGGGCCGCGCGCCGCGCCAGTGACTCCGAGCTGGGGAGACGGGCGCCGCCGAGCGTTTGAAGCCTCAGACACCTGTTTCCGTCACTGGCGCCTTTTAACCGCACCCAACACTCCGCCTCCTCCTTGAAGCTATTTAGAAAGTCCGAGGGGCGTGGACGGCCCCACGGCGCGCTCGCCCTGGGAGCGCGCGGTGCGGGCTGGAGATGCGGCCGGAACCGGACACCCGGCACCCTTGAGTCCCGGGCTTACGGGGAGAGGCGGAGGGTCCCGGCCTGCTGAGGGCCCACGGCTAAGGCTCAGCTCCCTGCCCCTCGAGGAGGACGGTTAAAGGCTGGGTAGCGGCGGTGCTGGTTTTTGTCTATTCTGTCTAGTTCAAGGGTGCTAGTGTATTTCAAACTCTGCTTTATTATTATTATGAACATAGAAAAACAGGCGTCCCCAACTATTTGAAGACGCATTTTCAGGCCGCGAAGGTTCCAGTTCCCTCTGTAACCCCCTTCGGGGCTCTCCACTGCGGGGCCTCTGGCATGGGGCCGCTTTCTGCCTAGGAATAGGGGCGCGGAGAGAGCGCCGCCGGTGGTGGCCAAGCCCCCAGTTCTTCCCCCACAAAACCATACAAGCCACAAACGCCTCCAAGTCTCGATTTGATTCAGTGGCTCTTAACCACATGCCACGGGCTAGGGGGAGGACCAGGGCAGGCCTTCTGTGCCCTGAGCGATGGGTTGCCTCAGCCGCGCCCTCGTCTGCTTCGCCTGCTTCCAGGATTTAGAAATTTGAGAAGTTACTCAATTGGGGGTTGGAGTTTGTGGGGAGGGGGAAATCCAGATTATTCAGAAAGGAAAGAAAGAGTACTGATGGTAAAGACGGTTTGGAAATGGAAAGTTAACTCACTTTCCCCTTATTGAAAGATTTCACCTTAGGTTTTGGTGCTTATATCACTTTTGTAGGTAGCTGTTCAACTTCCTTTTCCTTGCTTTCCCTGACTTGGTTCTCCTGATTTGCGTAATTATTGTGTCTATTGGCTAACCATTGTATATCACAGCACTCCTTATTTTTAGAATTTATAGCTAGAATTCCTACAGTTCTTAAGTCTTAACTTAAAATTCAGCGCTTAGTTTTATTCTATTTTGTCTGATTTCTATTGTTTTTCTGTGTGTTGGTGTTTTCTTCCCAATTAGACTTGGAGGTCCTCTAGGGCAGAAAGTTTTATATATATTTCTTGTGTCCTCCAGAATAGGGAAGGGGAAGAAGAAGAGGTAAGGAGGGAAAAGGGCCTCAAAATTGTATATATGAAGTTACCTCAAAATGAGTTTAGACATGTATTCCATTAGCAGATCACACCACAAATTAATATTTTTATAAATCCTATAAATATTTTGTGAATATCACAATCATATTGCTGCATTTTTGTGTTAAAAGCATTTCTTTGTTAAATGTAAATGTTAAAAATAAATCATAATTTTATCACGCTGTTTCACGTGTCTTCATCATTTAATATACTAATCCCTAGAAAAAGCTCTGTGCCCTCCCCCCCAAATCTTACCCTCTACCCCAGAGTTCCCAGCACCATATCAAGAACATGGTAGGTGCTCAAGACACATCTATGTCTCATTAACCAGTAGAGACTGAACCAAGGGAGAATAGGTTTTGATTCAGCTTTACGGGAAAAGCACTGGCACCTTCTCAGCAGGTCTTGAATGAAGCTAATACAGAGCCTGGCACTTGTTGAATAGCTAATTGATGATTAACTGAGCATCTGTTAACAGCCACACCTTGTCACTTAATGTCAGAGATACCAGCGAGTAATATTTTTACATACATGCTCAGAAGTAAGAAGGTAAATCCCAGGTGATTATAATTGAGCTAAACTTTTACGCAGATATTTATGTACACTTGATCTTAGCCAAGAAGCGATTATGCAGATATTTAAAGTGATACACGTGTAAGGTTATAAGGTGAAAATGCTAATGTTTGAAGTTATTTGGTATTTTAATATGAAAAATAAAAAAGTAGCTATTATGCAAGAAATCTGTGCAAGACAAAAAATATTTCTTAACATTGTAATGAACGATTGCTTGCCATTTGCCTATGGGGCAGCCTCTTGAGCTCCCCCTGGACAGGATGCTCTGAATATACACTAAAATTTCTGGGTTAAATTTCTGACTCACAATGATATGTGGGTAATGGCAGAAAGTGTCACAAGACTAGTAAGAGACTCTTGATAAAACGGAGCCACTATCGTACAACTTTACAGTTTTAGGGCAAGTACCACCCCCTTGTCTTGAGTTTGCTGTTAAAATATTAATGATAATAGTAACAGACAAAGAAAAAGAAAATTTAACCCTCCTTAAAACAGCAGTTAGAAACTTAAATTATAATGACCTCTGGCATCTCTGGATAATTAATAATGACTTTCATGCAATAATATAATTTTAAAACAGGAGTGGCCCCCATTTGACCCTTTTTAATCTTTGTCGACAATTATTACAGGGGACACCATTTCCCTACAATTTCTCTTTGTGTCATTCACCCACACTCTCACTTATGTTCTCTTAAAATTGCTAATGTCACATCATTTAGGGAAAAATCAATTGTTGCATCCAAACAGTAAAAAAGAAAAAAAAAGAGAGAAGTCTCAGACATCAGTACTTTGTTCTTCTCTTAACTTTAAAATTAAAATCACCTCATAAAATTCCAACTTTTAAATTGTGATAAAAACTGTTATAAGCCGTCCCCCTTTTCCTCATCCTACTCACATAAAACATATTTGGGCAATTTGAATTGCTGAGTGTGCCTCAGTTGCAAATTGTGGTAAATAAGCTGATTTCCTTGGCTTTGCTGGATGAATATATGCTCTTACTTACAAATATGTCATTGTAGCTCTTTTATGGTTATTTAAGCTGACTGTGGAGAAATTGCAACGATACTTCTAAATATATTTGTACCAAAAGCACACTTAGGTCAGAAATAAATCCAAAACTATTATTTGCTAGGCAGATTGGTAGGAAAAATTTACTTGTATTAAATATAAAAATGAAATTCTATAAGTTATGTTAGCTTCTCAAAATGAAAATTCTGCATCATTCACGCAACAGCAAAATAGATTTACACATTCTAGTTTGTGTTACAACTGTATTGTGTTGTATATCATCTTGAAGAGTTTTTGGAACAAGCTAGGATATAGAAAACACTTGTGAGTTGCTTTAGTAAAAAATATTTCTAGATATAGATTGTACTGAAAGGTGATGGTTATAATTATTTGTACTTTTGATATTTGTTTTTCTAGTGAGAAGCCCAGGTGGACCATTAGATCACCTGGAGATTCTGCTCATTTCTTTAAACACAGGTATCCAGAGAGGCAAACATGGTCACTTCTGGTACTAATAGTCTTTTGTTAACCATTTAAAACATAGGAAGTAACAATGGAATCTCTGCTTGTGATTAGATAGGGACCCATAAGATAACAAACACAACAACTTTGTTTTGCTACTTTTTGATAAATTTGTGGGCAATACTCCTTTAGCTGGTAATGAGAAAAGAAAGATTTGATCCCAATTAGTTCTGGAAATAAAGACTCAGACACTGCTTTTTAAAATTATTTTTATTTTATTTTACTTGTTTATTTTTCAAGACCTTTAACTTGCCACAGATGATGGAGGCTTGACAGGACCCTAAACAGCAATGATTCCCTGGTTATATTATATTTGATAGACTGTAGCAGCTTTTCATAAAATGCTAGTCTAGAATGTCTCGAATTTGATGTTGTCGTTTTCTGAAAACCCCAGGTCGGTTTTGCTCCTAAGGTCCTAGCACGGTGGATGTTCTTCAGCTTGCAAACCTCCTCTTTGGAGACCGGATATGAAGTCTTTGATATTAGAATTTAGAATTGTGCTTGTTTGTTAGATATTCATCTAAACTGCTCTTTAAACTCTTTCAGAACCATTTCCACTATGGGGAAAGAAGCACATATTCTTGTGTAGAGTTTTCTGATTTAATCCCTCACCCTTAAAAAATCTTTGTGCTGGCGGGGCGGGGGGTGGGGGGGCGTTGTGGGGGGAAGCACTTGCAATACCCAGAAGGCACGGTAGATGGCACTGGGAAGACTTAACAGGAACTTTTTTTGTATCATGTACATTCTCGGAAGAAATGAGGAAAATGGATACTCTTTTCTTCTAGCTAGGTGTTGCTTGTTCTGACCTTATTGTTGCTGTTAGCTGCCATCAACAACAGAACACTGCCTGGTCTTGCACCATCCCTGTAATGGGTTGGGGATAGGACCATTGTGATCCATATGGTTTTCATTGGCTAATTTTCAGAAGTAGATCTCTAGGCCTTTCTTCCTAGTCTGAGTCTGGAAGCTCTGTTGAAACCTATATTCCACATCATAGCAACATGCAAACCTCCACTGACAGGCAAGTGGTGGCTGTGTTGAGGTGCATTGGCCAGGAATCAAACCCCGGTCTCTCACATGGAAGTCGAGAATTCTACCACTGAACCACCGCTGTCCCCCTCTGACTCACTAGTGGGCTGGGAAATCAATTTCTTTATTTCTTTTTATGAAAGAACAGAACAGAATAGAATAGCCAGAATGTGCTGCACTTAGTAAGGTTAAGTAATGTTTTATGAAACTTTTGTTTCATATGTTTTCATATTCCTGTGTGTGCTGGATCCAATGTAAAATGTATTTCTTGCTGTAGGTCTCTGTCACAAGAGTTGGAAATCCATTGTTCTATTCCATTCCCAGGGCTAGTGTATATATATATATATATATATGTATAAGCCCTGGTGACCCTGGTGACACAGTGGTTAAAGCATTCAGCTGCTAAACGAAAGGACAGCAGTTTGAACCCACCA